CTATCCTCTGCCGCACAGTTTAATAGACATATCTTCAGAAGCCTAAGAGTCAGGAAATACTAAGGCTAAGGCATACATCGAAAGTACTTTAAATAGGTTGTTTTGCAAAGCCCAAATGTAGTATTAGTTAACTGAATTGTACAGTTATGCACACACACGGATAGTAATTAGTGATTTAGTTGATCACTGTAAGACAGGTCAGGTAAGGAGAGTAATACTTTGATGGCCATTGTCCATCAGTGAGGATGTAAGTGATGGCTGAAGCAAGCACAAGTCTATTCTGCCTTTCACACTATTTCCTTATACAGTGGTCCAGACAAGTTGAAGACTATACCCAAGTACATAAATTGTGGTTAAGACTGTGTATTATCCATCAGCGAGCCATTAGCAACTGCTACAGTAGTCGCTAACATTAAGTAAAAGATTTATCTATGTCATAGTTAAAGTGAAATGAGAGTTATAAACTGTGCTGCATTTCTGAGGCTAGGAAATATGAGTGTTTAGGGGAAGCTTTTCCTGGTTTTGGCTCTGGAAAGATTTCTCTTCTGGAGGTTTCTTTGTACGGGACTCATTTTCCACCCAGGCTGCAAGCTTTCTACTTGTCTGTCTGTGCTTGCCGAGGACAGGTGTGCGTCAGCACAGCTGCTGCCTCCTTTAGATTTAGGAGTAAGTGATGGCTTCACGTCTGTTTCTTCTGCAAACAGAGAAGCACATTTCCTAAGGTAATTAAGTTCAGTGGATTGGTTTTAAACATGTGGGTATAACAGTAAATGGATAGTCTCAACAGTAAATTTCAGAAAGTCTAAATAAAGTTACACTTTCCTCAGGATCTTGCTGGATTATCAGAGGAACAAAGCCCTTGCTTTTCTAACAGGCCCATTTTACAGTGTGGCTCACAACAGTGGTTACGCCTGTGGTGTCCGGCAAGGGCATAGATATGTGGGTGGTTGACTCAGATAGCAAGTAAGGAGATGGTAAGGTTAATACTTGGATAGAGATGAACTAATTTCACCAAGACTCTAGCCTGGACAAGTAACTAGTCACTTTGTTGAAGGTGGAGGAATTTCTAGTCAAACTTCTTTATAGAATTTTGTGTTCTACCGGTAGAGTATTCATTCTAAAAAATTCTTCAATATGGAGTATTTGAGGCACAGAGTAGCCATGTGTCTGGACAGAGTTGAGAAAGATATACTTTTGGCATGCACACTTGGCCTGGCCGTTTCCTGGGCTGTTTGAATCACTTTATGTCTCCTCCTTTGCTATTCGAAATAGTAGCAGTGCTTCCAGAGAGCGTCAGGTGTGAGTCTCGATGCCTTTATGATAAGCTGTTGTTATGAATGCTTTGTCACACACAATTGCAAACAGAGAGACAACTAAAGAGCTTTAGTGGGCAGCATCCAGTCAGACTGTGACGGGGCAGCTAGTACAGTTTTGTTCTTTGCTCTCTGACAGAATGAAGTACCAGTTACGATCTTGTCCTTGCCTAGTTTGTGGGGGGAAAGATTATATTTTTGGAGTAATATGGAGTATTCTTAATTTTCTGTTGTTACTAGAACAGTCTAACTCACTAAAATTCAAGCAAATGCATATTTAGGATTAGAAAACAGCCCGTTTCCATTATCTCTTGAGTAATTCAGCCTACTTTGATTTTACGAAGATGGCTAATAAATGTATAATACTAATTATCCATATAGGATAATCAACTTTGCCAACCATGTGTGCAGTCTCCTCCGTGTTGTTTCAGCAACGGTAGCATAACAATCTCATGCTCACAATCCTGTTGTCACACATACACAAGAGCAACTTGTCCACAGTCATATAGTGAACTCCTGTAGCCAGTAGGTACCAGAGCTATTCCCCAGAGGTTTTCACCCAAGAATCCTGCTTTCATATCGCAGCAATGCCTACAAGAACTTGTAGAGAGAAAAACCTAAACTTTGTATTTGTAATGACTGTTAAGGAAAATTATTGGTGTATTTCCTCCCTAAATTACTAATGTTTTCAGGGTTAATTCATTCCATGAGAACAAAAGGAGTGCAGTAGGCAACTATGTCTTAACTCCTTTTCAAATTCTCAGCCTTAAGATTGCAAGAGAGAGACTGGGGGAGAGAGAGAAGGCACAAGAGTCAGCCAGATGACATCCACAGCACCGGTTCTCTTTCTGGTACAGCTAGAAGTGTCTGGTTCTACCGCAGTGAGCAGCCCTCGAATCAGCCGTAGGTTATGCAGCATGAGCTTCATCCGTTTGAGCTCCAGCTTCAAGACACTCTAAGTTAGACCTGCTTTTTCCTGAGTACATGTCAATCTTTTACTTTGAAATCCATTTTTAAATAATAAACATCTCTTTTAATAAAGTCAGCAGTTATTTATAAAAAATAAAGGTTCCTGAGGAAACAATGTTGAGTATTTATGGTAGTAATCAGAGGCTGAACAAAATGCCCCCAAAGCAAACTACTATATAGTATAGCTAGAGGATTACTAACTCATAGTTTATATTAAAACTTAAAAGGATTAAAAGAATTCTTTGATGTAGAATTTGATGTGCAGTCAGTAGTAACACTGACACTTAATTCATTCACTGCTTTATGTGATTCCCTTATTTTTATGGGGAAAAAGCTAATTAATACTAAAACTGAAGAAAACATAGCGTTTGAAATGTAAGCTTCCCTAAAGCCTTGCTCTTGTTTAAATTTATCACAGTGCCAAATGCACTCTGGTATGAAGAGTTGAGGGGAAATCCATACCTGAAGTAAGCGCTCAAGCAGTGCTTTGAATCACCTGTCTGTTTAGGATTTCTTTCCATTGGAGCTAAGACAATAGAATATACTGTAAGCAACATAAAAAAGCCAAGAGAATCAAAACAGAAAAATGAAGGGATCTAGGACTATACCTCAGGGGTTTAATCTGGGTTTAATGTGCTAACAGCCTTAGCACCAGCAGATGAGAACAGAAATGTTCTGATATAATGTTTTTCCTGCGGAGAAAGATGAAGATCCATTTAAAACTTAAAAGCCAGACTGCAGTGGCAGCACGTAACTGCAATCCCACGTGCTGCAGAGGGCAAGGCAGGAAGACTGTTAACTTCAGCCCAGCCCAGACAGCATCTCCACAGATGCATGCAGTGTGAAGGAGGCCTACAAGGAGTTCTGTCGACACAAAGGTGTGTCCTACAAATACACCAGGAAATGAGTATTATCCTTGAGAAGAGCTAAGGTGTCAAGTTACATGGCCCCTTGAAATACTGTCCTGATGGAATTATTTCATGATAGGATATAAAGTTATATTAATATGCGTAGTGGCACATACATGGAACTGTAGAATTTGGCCAACAGAAGCAGAAGGATTACATCCTGGGCTAAGTATTGGGGAGGTATTTTAACTACTGAAAGGTATAAACTAAAATTGAGATGTATTTCTTTGGATAAGCTAAAGTTTTCTCAGCCTAAATATATGTATGGCATTCTCAAGTATAAGTATATAATTAATTTATTCTGTTCATTTGTGTTGATTAGCAATCAATTGCAAGATGCCTACTTTATATCTTCTGGCTTAATATATATATATATATACATATATATATACACACACACACACATATATATATATATATGTATGTATATAATACGTATATCTATTTATATATCCCAAATCTCAGGAAGTCGGAAGCTGCATGTGGGTGAGATGCAGCCAGCCTCAGCACTGGGAGAGGTGCCTCAGCAGCACCGCTGATGTCACTCAGTGCTCTAGCAAGTGGGGTTTGTTTTGTTGTTTTTGTTGTTATTAACCATTTTTGCCAGTTTTACCGGTTTGTAACTGATAACCATTTTCCTTAATTGCTGTAATATATGAACTATGTCCAAATAATAGGAACATATCCTTTGTTATTCTGAAAAGGTTGCACTAATAAGATTGACCAGATATGCAAATTTCCATTAATATGTTAAGCACTGCGTTTTCTTCAAAGCCTTCCCTCTAACACCTCGTTATTTTCAGGGCCTGGTACTCAGATTCCACTGTCAGATTCCTCTAGGAACTTGTGTTTACAGTTACTTGTCTCGTGTCCTGACTGTCACATTCTCATTGTTGAAAGGCTGGCTAGTAGAGACTCTTCCTGGTGTTCCTGCTCTTGTCCAACACTGATCGAAATGTCAACACCTACACTGTATGTGATTTTTCTTAGCACAGTTGGCTGAGTTCCTTCTCAGTGTTGTTATAAATGACTCAGAGCTTGTCCTTACAGCCGTCTCTTTGACCCCACTCAGCCCTGTTCTGGGGGATGTAGTCAGGGTTGTCTTTACACTGATGGAAGGTCCCTGGTTTAACAAACCACATAGCTAGCAGCAGCTCCTAAGAGCAAGTGGTGCGCAGGTTTCCGATTGTACATGATAGTGGCTCAGCACAGTCCAGAAAATTCTCTTCTGCTTTCAGCAAGTCTGCACAGGGAGAGTTGACCCGGTAAGGTGGGCGAACTACAGGATGGGTGAGAGAGAACAAGTGGGCACGTCTCACACCGCCTGATTCCCAGCAGACTTACTTTTCCAGGCCATGTGTGTCTCTGCAGAAACCACTCTCACTCTAAAAGGTGACCGGCACGATTTCTGTGCTAAAGCCCAGTCATTACTTACAAGTTTAGTTTTCTTTGTAAAAATAATCTAAAGCTGAATTTTTAATCTAAAATTTTTTGACAATTTCTTATGAATTTGCATCATTGCCATCCCTCCATCCCTCTCCAGCTCCTTCTGTGTACTCCCACATCCTCCCAAACTCATGATCTCTTTATTATTATTATTGGCACACACAGATACATATGTGTATTTGAGTTCATTTAGTATTATTTATATGAGCCATATTTTAAGAAAATTAGTTTCTAACCTCAGGCAAGTCACCTTTGAATCCTTTAAATCTAAATACATAATTTAAATATTGTATTATCTCTGATTTTTGTCCTTCTGCTTTTAATTCTCTTCCTCCTAATAAGCAATCTGTCACCCTCTTTGTAGATGCTGAGGACATGCTCACTCCCAGATCTTTCCAAGCTGTTCAGAACCCTGATGGACGTTCCCACTGTAGGAGATGTTCATCAGGACAGTCTGGAGATAGAGGAGCTTGAAGATGAGCTCAGTAAAGATTCTGAAGACACGTGAGTACAAAGCCATTAACAAATGAGATTGCCGCTGTGATGTCTGAGCCTTTGAAGAGTCCAGAGAGCATGGCCTACAGCTGGCTTCTCATCACCCTTCAAGTTCTTACAACTTGGTCAAATACAGTCGGCCTCTTGATTCTGGATATCTGCTTCTAAATGATTACTACCTCATCTGATGCATATGAAACATTTATATTTGTGTTCACTGTCTTTTTTCCCCATTGACGCCCATCTAGTACACTGATGCGACTAGAGTAAGAGATTACTAAGTAGTGATTAAATTAATTTTCACAGGGTAATGTCTACAGTCTCCATTATACTAGGAATGAAGTGGGAAGTTGGGAAGTATTAAATGCTCCACATTTTCTCAGGAAAATGCCTGAAAGTTTCATATCTGCCTTGGACATGTTTCATTTTAGGCTGTGTCAGTGGTAAGGTAGAGTAGTTATTTTATTTGTATGATATATGTGGGAGTGGGGGGCAGGGTAACCATGAGAGAGAGAGTGTATGTTGTGTGTAACTTCATTGTTTTCACAAAATTCCTATCTTGTGATTCATGTGAATTATAGAACTCAGGAAGGAAGTGTAACGATATTTCTGAAAGTTAAGGGAAATGTTGGCCAAGCCTCTGATAAAAATCATTCTTGACCTCTTCAGTTTTAGCCTTCCAAACACGTCAGGCAAGTATCACTAACGTGGGGGAGCTAAAAGCTAAGTATCCTGTCATGAAGTGCTAGGAAAAGTGTCGTGTAGGGTCTAGTGCTGGGGATGCAGGGCTGTAGCTCTGGGGTAGAGGAGCTTAGCTCGGGCGAGGCCCAGTTTGAGGCAGGATCGCTGCACCTGGCATTGGTACTTTGCAAGTTCCTAACAAGCTGTCCGTTCTCATCAGTCCTCATAGAGACCTGTGAATGGTTGGGAGGGACCCTTTCGTCATGCTTCAGTGTGTTCACTGGTGGACACAATGTTTAGCACCTGGGTGGGTGCAAATTGCTAGGTAATGGATTTTGTGGAGGGTTTTTCCCAAATAGAACTAAAATGAACAGTTTTTAACTGAGCCAGCTGTAAACGAATTCTTCCTAAAGTACTATTCCAGATTTACTAGTTGTTTGTCATTGAAAACTGATTTTGGTTCATGTATTTATCAAGATTTTATAATGGGAAAGCAAACTAAAAACTAAATTTGGGACCAGATTTCAGATTATCTGACACAGGTTTTTGAATGCTGATTTCATAAAATATGAAATCTTCTCAGGTTTTCCTTAGGGTGGCAGTCAGGCCAATCTCACTCACTGACTCCAACATGCCTTGGCCAGTATTTACTCATGCTCACAGGTGGGGTTGCTAGTCAATAGTCAGGTCCACAAAGTCCAATGGCTAGTCAGTGTTGTACTAAGTACCAAATAAAGGTACTTCTGTGAAAATGATTGTTTTCTCTTTCCAGTAATGTAAAATGTCTTCAGGTCCTTACCTAGTGTTTGTATTGGGAGTTGAGTGTAAACTTTTGGGGAGGTCATCATGAGCATCCCTAACTTAGGTTGCATTTCTAGTAGATGAGACCTGTGTTTAGGATCCCTCAGCAGACGCCTTCACACATCCAGACTCTGACAGAACTCTGTCCTCAGAGAGCAGCCTTGAGTATGCTTCTGAGTTACTGTACAAGAGCTCAAGGTTTGTCTGCTGCGCATTGCTGAGGCTTTGAGCCATGGCATACTTTGATTTACACTTTTCATGTCTCTACCATGAGCTTCATTTGGATAAAATTTAAAAATTGGTTGAAACTGCTTAGTAAACTAATGTGCTATATAAATATAAGGTCTTACTATATGAATTAATTTTTTTTCTACATTTTAAATCTCATAAAGATAGGAATTTTATGCTTTGAAGACAAAATTCTCCTGTTAGGATTATGGTAGTTGATTTATTCTTGGGAAAATCTACTTACATGTTTAGAAATGTTTTCAAGAATATGCACAGAAGTTTCTGTTGGCTATTATATTCACTTTATACAGACACTATACTAGACCTTGACTCTTATTGCTACAAGTGCAAATGCCTTCACCGTGCCCTCCCTTCCTCTTCATCCATAATGTGGGCAAATCCTCCACCAACGTATCCTATAGGGATGCTCTTTCTAGCTTCCATTGCTTCGCAGGAAATCCTTTAAAACCATTCCCTAAGTCTTTCTAGCAGACATTTGCAGTTTCCGGCTTCTGTCCTTCCTTTACAGCATCGGTGCATGTTATGCACCAGCGGTAGTCAACACGACATTCTGTCTGCAGGCTGCAGCAGATGCTGATCTGTGACCAGATACCAGGTAGCTGTATATGGTCTTTTTTTTTTTTTATTTATTATTATTTATTTTTTTATTTTTATTTTTTTATTTTATTTTTTTATTGAGAAAAGGAAAAAAAGTTTCCCCCTCCTCCCAGCCTCCCATTTCCCTACCCCTCCTCCCACCTTTCTCCTCCTCCCCCCACTCTCTCCTCCTCCCTCTCCAGTCCAAAGAGCAGTCAGTGTTCCCTGCCCTGTGGAAAGTCCAAGGTCCTCCCCCCTCCGTCCATGCCTAGGAAGGTGAACATCCAAACTGGCTAGGCTCCCAAAAAGCCAGAACATGAAGTAGGATCAAAACCCCGTGCCATTGTTCTTGGCTTCTCATCAGCCCTCATTGTTCGCCATGTTCAGAGAGTCCGGTTTTATCCCATGCTTTTTCAGTCATAGTCCAGCTGGCTGTATGTGGTCTTGATCAAGGTTCTGAAGCAATGGGGTGGCATTTGGAAGTAAAAATACAAAACTTCCACTTGCTCCCTCCTACACACTGAACCCAGTCCAGCCAACCTGAACCAAGATAAGAGAGCACCAAGAGGGAACCGAGAACTACACAGCTCAGCGCCATGCGGGTGTGCCAGAACTCACTCCAAGAGATTAATTAGTTCTGTTGGCAGGTTGATTAAGAAAAGCTGCTAGCTGCTTGCTTTTGCTTTTTTTTTTCCTAGTGGGCAATTGTCTTTAGTTTTAATTGCTGTATTAAAATACCTAACAAAAGCAACTTAAAGGCAAAAGGGTTTGTTTGGCTCATAGTTCCAGAGGTGAAGATACTGTCCATAAGGGCAGAAAGGCATGACGGGAGCTTGCAGTCAGCCCAATCACAGTGCATTAGCAGTCTGGAACCACAGAACAGTAAGTAGAGGCAGGCTATACATCCTGAAATACCACTCCCAGTGACATGCGCCCTCCAGAAAGGTTCCAACTCCAAATGTTCTAGACATAACCTTTCCGAACAGTACCACCAGCTGGGGACCAAGTACTCAAACACTCGAGCCTAAGAGGGACATTGCACGTTCAAACAATAACAAGCCGTCAATCTGGAGACACATAATCTATCAGAGAACTAAGAATACGTCACAGCTGAATACTCAGCATAGAAAGGATGTCTGTATCACTTCTTCCAAGACTGAGGAAACATCCAGAAAGGGGGTGAAAAGGATGCAGGACCTGGAGTAAGGACTGGAGTGCTGTAGAATACTGTCTTCCTGGCATGACATGACCGTTGCACTCTAAACCCTTAGCAGTTGTGATAGCCTGCACAAGACAGCCTATCAGTGTTCCTTCAGGAGCTGGGAGGGGCCCATGAACCCCTACTCTCCTTGAGGCTCTATCGGCAGATAATGACTGCTGGGGAAAGACATTTTCTTCAGCTCTGTAGCCACTGATGAGTTACCTGTAAATAACTCTTTACACATGCTCCTGTAAACAACCTATTTAAACTCATATGGGGCACACACACATGCACACACACTCAAGTAGAAGCATAGTAAGGAAAAGGATCAACAGCAGTGGGGGAGACACAAGAAAGGATAATGGGGAATGACTATGATCAAAACGCACACATGTAAGAAAAGATCTATAATTGATATATGCTAATAAAGCATCAAAAATATCACCTCACTGTATACATAACAAATATACTCAGGTTGGTAGGTTTATTGTCCATCACTAACAGACATGTAATTCCAACCCTTCCTCTCCCAGCTTCTGGAGAAAATATTAGAGCCATTCCATAAGCAAGATGGCTGTCACCAAGCCTTTCTAGAACTTTCTATTTTATTTATAGACTGAGCATGGCTCTGTCACATGCTCTGCAGCATCACCAAACAGGATGGGAGTTAATTTGCTCTCCCACAACTATGGCACCAACACTGCCTCTGCGTTTATGCGCACGTAGATTTTAATTACCAGCATCTTCCCCAATCACTTTTCTCACAATTAAACACCTACATGAGGTCGTGTTCTTTCCTTTTCTTCTGCTGAAATGTAGTGGTAGCTTATTTGTCAGAAGATACAGCCCCTCCGGCTATTGTTTGTGCCAGGAGGGATGGTTAGTGTTGCCCGCCTCCCCCGGGTCTAGAATCACCTGGAGACATTACCAGAAGGCTTTTCTAGATTCAGCGATGCCGAAAGTACTAGACAAAATATGGTGGTTTGAATGAGAACAGCCCCCACAGACCCCATCTTAATGCTCCAAGCCCAGTTGATAGAACTGTTTGGGAAGAATTAGGACACAGGGCCTGGTCAGAAGAGGTATGTCAGTGGGGCCTGGAGGTTTCAAGACCCTATGCCCTTACCGCTACACTCACTCTCTGCCCCCTGGTGTTCATAACATGTACGCTCTCAGCTCCTGCCATGGCTGCCTACTGGCTTCATGGCTCCTACCAGGATGGTCATGGACTCACCCTCTGAAACTGTAAAGTCAATACACTCTTTCTAGCTGCCAGGGGCTAGAAAAGGAGCCAAAAGACCGAAGGAAGAAAAGAGCAAGCTGAACAGCCACATCCGTCCTCTGGGTCCTGACTGTGAGTGCAACGTAAGCCGGGGTCACAGCTTTTGTCTGCCATGCCTCTGCTGCCGTGATAGGCTGTACCCTAAGGTGTGAGCCAAAATGAGCCCTCCCTTTTCACGACGCTTTGTCATTCGGTCACAGCAATGAGACAGGTAACTAA